CAAGTAAAAAGTAATTAGAAGATTGAATAACAGATTAGAAATTTAAGAAAACTTCACCTTTTGCATATCTGACATGCAGGTGATTCCTTCCCCTTCCTTGAGGTCCAAAGAAGATTGTAGCAGCTGTAGGAACCAATTCCAAGTATTTTTGTTCTCCTTATCAACAACTGCCCATGCCAAAGGGTAAAAATGATTCTGTGAATCCTGTCCAACTGCTACTAACAGCTGGCCTTTGGCTTTGCCCTTCAAAAAGGTACCATCCAAACCAATAAAAGGTCTCAATCCTAGATTGATACCCATCTTCAAAGCATGAAAACACACATACATTCTCAAGAACCTTCTTCTTCCTTCTTCAAGTGCACTCTTTGAAAGTGTAACAACCACATCACTACCAGGGTTACTTTCCCTCAATTCATTGGCATAAGCCTCTAGTTTATTGTACTCATCTGAAAAAGTACCATCTAGTGACTCCAATACCATCCTCTTTGCCCTCTTGCACTTTTTATGACTAACATTTAGCTCAAAGTTTCTCTTCAAATCTAACATCATCTCCCTAACCTTGTACTTAGGATTATCTTGTAACTTCTTCTTGAAATATTGTGCAATGGTACTAAAATCAACAGTCTTGTTATCAAATGCAGTGCCACAATCATGTTCAGAAGATAAAGTCTTGATTTTAACCCCACCAAACTTTTCTTTTGATATTAAGCACACAAAGGGACAACCAACAATATCACAAGTATACCTAAGTCTTTCTAGGTCACTCTTCTCCAATTTCAATCTTTTTTTGTTAGCCAGAGAATATAACTTCATACACTTCCTAGCTTCTGGTATGTCCTTAAAGGACATACATTTGTATAACTCTTTGAAGTCACTAAGTTTTTCATCTATTTCCCTTTACTTTTGTGCTTTAAGTGCTTCTAATTCTTCAGAATTGTATCCTTCAGAATCAGTACTAGATTCAGATCCTACATCACTTAAGCTACAATCAGTACCAACATCATCCACAATTTTATTAGATTCTTCTTCATGTTGTTCAATATTGGGAATAGAGTAAATAGGGGGCTCACATTCATCTACACCATATAGGTTCACTACATTGAATTCATTGCATAATAACCTTTGTAAATGTCTAATACCATCATCCCCCTCAATCACATAAAATTTACCAGATGGGGCAGCAACTATAAGTTGTTGAACCCCTAAAAATCCTAGCTCATTTGTGAATTCATTGACTATATCTATGTATGAAAGTAAGTCGGAGTCGTAACCTGTCCAAGTCTTCACCAATTTTCCTGTGTAGACAACTTTAGGCTCAATAACCCAATCACCATCGTAATTGAATATTAAATCAACTAGCACCATCTCCAACAACCTATAAAACACAACAGAAAAAAAATAATTAATGTATAAGTCAGTAGTGAGAATGATTTTTTATGACAAGAGGTCCCCCCCCCCCCCCAAGGAAGAATCCAACATACCCGAATACTTTAATCAAATGGACACACAATTGGGGACCATCGTTGTTAATAAACAAAGGAAAAGTTCAGAATCTTCAGAAAACATAAATATAATTTACGAAAAAGGACAAAGAAACAAACCCTACATAACACCACAAAATCCCACAAAACCCCAGCAATAAATAAAGAACAAAGGCGTAAACCATGTATGCAAACACTAGAAACAGACAAGAAATAAGGATATATTAATGAAATTTCAGAAACTTTAGTTAGATGTAGATGAAATCTAAGAAATCGAAACCCTAGCACAAAAACCCTAAAATACGAAAAGAAAACTAAAAAATTGCAATACTAACATGAATAATATAGCAAAGACGAATCATTTTCATGGAGGAAGGTATTACCTTTATGGAATTTCTTCACTTCAAATCGGCTATCAACAAGGCTGTGAGAGTATTTTCATGTTCATAGTTAGTGAGAGAAGAAAATGAAACGGGAAAATGAAATAGACGAAATGGGTATTATTTGGTTTAAAAATGACAGGTCACAGGTTATGGGTTGGTGGGTATAGTTGGAGCGGGTCGTCTCTTATGTGCCCAGATTTAAAAAGAGGCAAGGATGGATGCCACGTGGCACTTCCGTCAAAGTAAGGGCAGATTTGTTAGGATAGTTGGACGGTAGGGACTTTTATGGCCCAATAGTATAACGGGGGATAATTTTAAACAATTTACCATAGTACAAGGATATATCAGACCCTTTTCCGTTGTAAATATTGTCCTGAGGGTATGAAATCCCGGATTTCACATCCTTATGCTATTGGAGGTGACGCACACGCTGGATGGCGAGCATGGGGTCGTGAACCGTCGTGACTTGGTCCATCCCGTACGACTATTAAGTCGCGTATTTTACTTGAAACTATTTGATATTGTTATATTGTGGAAAATATTATTGTGTTTGGGGCTAAATGCCTTGTCTGGGCCTTCCGCTGATTGTTTGGACCCTTAGGGGCTTTTACTACTATTTTTCCTCGCTATTTTGGTTTAATGTTTACACTCAGTCATGCTATGTTTTTACTGTTTTCATAACTCGGTTTTATTCACTCCTTTTGATTTCATAAATGATTTTGATCCGAGTACTTGTTTTATGTCAACCCGAGGGGCTTGAGTGAGATCTGACTGAGTGAAGGCGAGGGCCTGTGTTATGAGGAAATCATGGGATTGGGCTGCGCGCCGCAGCATGTGGTATTGATTTGTGATATATGAGAGGCCGAGGGCCTGATTTATTATGCCACGAGGTGGCTTGTGTTTGATATGAGGCCGAGAGCCTGTTTGATTATGCAACGAGATGGCTTGTTATTGCACTGGGATGTAAGGGGCCCCTCCCGGAGTCTGTACACCCACAGTGAGCGCGGGTACCTAGTGTGAGTGATGTGTTGTAGCCCGAGGGGCTATTGTTGTTTCATATTGAAGCTCGAGGGGCTGTTCTTGATCTATGTTGCCCGAGGGGCGGTTCTTGATTCATGTTATGCCCGAGGGCTGATTACGAGTGATTGTGAGGTAGCTCGAGGGGCTGGTTCTGTTGATGTTATGCCCGAAGGGCTGTTTATGGTACATGTTTTGCCGAGGGGCTGTTTACGTTTCTATCATTTTTACTCACTATTTTTATCACTCGTTTGAAACCATTGGAAGATATTTTAAAAAGGAAAGGGTTTTTTTTACTGAAACTGAGTTTGATTTACGAAATAAACGATTTCTGTACTGTTTTGGAAATGTACTGTATTTGCTGTAGCGTTATGATGTGGCTTACATGTTTTCTTACTGCTCAACTTTCATTTACTTTTGTCACTTACTGAGTTGGCGTACTCATATTACTCCCTGCACCTTGTGTGCAGATTCAGGTATTTCTGAACCCGATAGTGGGTGTTGATTGCTTAGTGGCAGAGTCATTGGAGTTAGCAAGGTAGCTGCCCGACGTTCGCAGCACTGCTTTTCTCCCTCTTGTCTTCCTTAGACTGTATTTAGTACATTTTTAGACTCTTAGTTTTATTCAGACCTTAGTAGATGCCCGTGACTTGTGACACCCCGATGTCGGGCTGGTGTATTTATTCCGCACTGTTCATTTAGACTTATATTATGAGATATCTGATTAATTAACGGCTTAAAAATGATTATTATTGATTAAAGGGTTGAATTCGGGAGTTGTGTCGGTTGGCTTAGTTTCACGATAGGCGCCATCACGACCGGGTCGGTTTTAGGATTGTGACACCATAAAAGTTAGTAACTCAAATAAAGCCCAAAGCAAAATCAAATTAATACTAAAAACAAATATTCAATTCAATACTAGAAATGACAATAGTATTGGATTTGTTTTTTTAGTTTTGCATTGATTAGATAGTGAAAATGCATAACTCGATTTTAATATTATTTAGCCATGTAATTAATATTAGTACTTATTAGTCGTACTTATTTTAACACAACTTTGTACTTTTAGATTATGTTTATTTTTATTATGGCTTATTAATTAGCAATACTTATCTTATGCGATTTGTTGAGTATTTTAGTATAATCATGACTCATCTCACATTATTTTGTATTATTTTATTGGGTAACATCTTATATAGTTTTATCCTACTAGGACCTAAGAAATATTAAAGCACAAATTATAAATTATATGGTACGAAGATTTTGTCAGAAAAAACCCGAAAAACCCAAAAAATCCGAGAAAAATTATGATTGAAAAACCCGACTTTTGTTTGTTTGGTTTGGTTTATAAATTTAACAATCCGAGACAATTGATTTGGTTTGGTAATTGAAAAATCCGAACCAACCCGGCCTACGTACACCCCTAGTTTTAATACACCAAACTAATAGTCGATAAGAAATACTCCCGTCATAACTAATCCAACATTATTAATATACCCTATTTAATACTATTCTTATACACCCTACCAAACGACCCGTAAGTTTAATGACCAAATAGCTAAAGATTATTGCAATATCCTTTGCTAGTACAATTCTTTTACCAAACGAACCAAAGCTATTCTAGTGGACTAATCCAAGTTTCTATATTTCCAAAGAGTAGAAGAATTAAAAAAAAAAAAAAAAAACCAACAGCATTAGCACTTCCATTTGATATAATTTATTTGCAAATTGACAAATTTATAGCAAAAAATATAACGTCGACCATAAGAAAATCTTCATACCATTAGATCATCTGGTTACAACCCCCCCCCCCCCCCCCAACCCCCCGGCCTCCTCCCCTCCTATTTGAATAAAAAGTACTCCCACTTTCATATTAAATTATCGGGGAAAATATTATTGCCAGCATGAAATTAAATGGATTAAGCATAATAGATAACAGCTATTATATTATATAAAAGCTGTAGTTTTTTTTTTCCAAATACGTGTGCCATTTTTGTCACAAGAAAACAAATAAAACCTTTTTGTAGCAACTTAACCACGAATTGCCCACGCTTTCACTTTTTTTTTAAGTAGACATATATATATATATCTTACAATTTCCCCTTAATTATATACCAAATATCATATTCCCTTATGTATAGGTAGCTAGTGAGAAGTCCATTCCGGAACCCGAAACTTTAAATTTTGGCTTCGCCTTTCTGTGTGCAGACACATATATAGCTCGGTGTTTTAACTTCAGTGCACTGATAGAGTGAAAATCGAATTACACTGTCAGTGCATATAAGTTAAATTCGACATATGGACACATATATATGGCTGACCTATCAAACATTGTAGTTGAAAACAAACAGTCAACAAGAACAAATACCAAACATCCTGTGTATAGAGGAATACGTTGTAGAAGTGGGAAATGGGTGTCTGAAATTAGAGAGCCACGTAAAACTACAAGAATATGGTTAGGAACATTTCCTACACCAGAAATGGCAGCTGCTGCCTATGATGTTGCTGCCTTAGCTTTAAAAGGCAGTAATAATGTTGTACTAAACTTCCCTTGTCATGTCAATTTCTATCCAAAGCTCCCTCCCTCACCTTCTCCGGCTGATATACGAAGTGCGGCCGCCACTGCGGCCGCACTGATGAAGAAAGAAGCCGGAGAAGGTACAGTGGTGGCTCAGCAAGGTGATGATGATCAGTTATCAAGAAGCAGTAACGGAGCTACATATAATGAAGGGGATTCAGTTGAATTTTCTTCACCGGAAAGTTATAACGTGCAAATAGGTAATAATATTTATTACTCCTATATATATATATATAATGTGTATATACTAATTGTTGATTCTCTTAAACACAATATGAATCTTATGTTAGGCGTTTGTCCTAATTTTTTTACCATATTTGATTTTTCTATCTCTTGAGGGAAGGGCAATATATTTACTATTACGGATTTTTTTTTTATTACGAAAAGGAAAATCTAACCTTTTTCTTGGAGGAAAAGATTTTGATTTTTATAAATTAACGATCCTTCCTTCTGACTCAGTAGTATCTACAATGTAGCCATAAGGGTTTTGAGAGTCTTGTTTAGAGACAAATTTTTTTGGGGCAAGTGTAGTCTGTCACTCGTGTGTGCCTCTTTGTGAGGTTGTTCTCTCAATATTTTGTACTCTCTTTATATGGTGGATTGTTCATCTCCGCATGTGGATGTAGCTCAACTGACCGAACCACGTTAAATATTTTTATCTTTTTTGTTATATTTCTCTTTTGTTATCTGATTTATCATTGTTCAAAGTTTGATCTGTTGGCTTTCGCATAACACCTGCTTATTTCGATCCTAACATCTTTTTTTTCATTTTTTTATAGGAGGGAAATATGTAGATGAAGATGATGTATTTTATATGCCTAGTTTGATTGTTGATATGGCGGAGGCAATGATGATGAGCCCTCCAAGAATAAACTCCTCAACATGCGAAGATTCAAGAGGAGATCCCTCATATATTGAAAATCTTTGGAGCTATTGAAGAAAAGGAAGAAGAACACAAAATTCTCAAAACTCACTATAGTTTTTTGGTTTAATTATCAATAATATGTGATCACATATTATAAACACAATTAAACCCTAAAGATTCATAGTCTAAAATTCTGCGTACTTGAGTTGTAGAAGATTGTTTCAATACATTGTAAAAGATGTTTTTTTCCTCAAAAATCTTTCACAAGGAACTAAGGAAGGAGAGGAAAGGAGAGAGTTCTTGTATTTCATGTTAAATGGAGAAGATGTCTCTAATATATCGATGTCTCTTTCTTTTTTATCTGTATTATAGAAATATTATGTACTACTATTGTCATATATATTACTTAATAGATTATATATATCACTTATATATACTCTGATAATAAGAAAATTTACACTGAAATTTACAGTGGTCAATTATATAAATGAAATCCTCAATTTTTCACCTTCATTAATTATCCGTAGACGTTTAAGTGCAAAGACATGGGGAGCAATTACCATAAATAAAAGAGGTTTTGCTTTTTCGTAAATGAAAACGTGCTGAAATTAGCCTAGTCTAGTGGCTTTGTCGGTATGATAAATAGATGCTTTGCGACAAATATTTTGGAAGAAATTGTTTCCTTTTTGATAACTTACGGTAAATTTATTTTCTATCATGATGGTTATAGTTTGTTGACTTCCATTTCTTTGAATCTACTTATTATTGTTGGGACATATGATTATGACTATGCAAATAGATTCTTTGTTTGGGGATTTTCAAGTTTGGCAGTGTTTATGATTATAGATGGCTTTTGTTGTATGTATTAATTGTTTTATAGTTAATATTCTATAGTCTAATAATAGAGAACTGATATTTTCTCTTTATATTCTTGTTACACCCCATGTTTCGTATGTAAGAGTACGTCGTAAGTCAATTGATGTAAGCTCAAAAATAAAATTAACTTTGAAAAGTTTAGTAAGTTAATCATGTTACCGTGGAAGTTATAAATATTTAAGCTCATGAATAACAAGTACCAAGATGTTTGGAAGGCTTATAAGCTAAACGAATTGAAGAGGATAAGTTTTGTCGAAAGTCGAGAAGTTTGGTGTTATACCTTGTGCGTCCTAAGGTGATGCATAATGAATATAAGACTTGTTAATCATGATTTGAATGAGTGTTAAGTCATAATATGACTATATATGATGTTTGGATATAAAATATAAAGTTTGGGAAAAATTGGATTTAACTTACGGAAAAATCGAGTTAAGATTTGTCTTGTAATGAGCCGTTTTGAGAAATTAAATTCGTAAGCTTTATGATGTTATTTTGGGACATATCTCATACCAAAATGTAGGTATTAGAACCTAGTTTCCAACGGTCCAAACCAGTTATTCATATGACATCGGAGTAGAGAAATATGTATTTTTGAAGTAGGATCGCCAAGTCACGTTGCCGCACTTCGGAGAAACTGGCAAGTTTATAGGCCAAGTTGCGACGCTGTTATATCTGTATATGGAATTAACGCTCTATGTGTCTAGTTTCTAACGATGAAAACCGTTTGTCAATACGATATCTGAGTAGAAAGATACAAGTGTCCGAAGTTGCGCTGCTCAAGCTGCCAAGCAGGCAACTTAGCCACCTGCTTGGAGAATTGAGGCGGTGAGCTTATAAGTTATCTTTACCCATTATATTTCGTCAATATCCAGAGATATCTTACACCAAAACACTCTCAAGCTCCCCAATAACTGGTCCAAGATTCCAAGAACCAAACTCAAGAGAAATCAACTCAAATCATCAACAAAGATGTTAAAGACTACAAGAGAATGCTTCTATGGTGTTGTGGTGTGATTGAGGGCTATTGTGAGCTAAGTTGAGATGGGGTTTTGAGTTGTAGCTGCTGTCCAACATATGTATAATATCTTCTTGATTGTGCCTAAGGTTAATCTTGTGTTGGTTGTGTTGTTTGAGTGAAAAACCATAAGATAGCACTTGAAAGAACATGAGATATGGTTGTCTTTTTGGTTGGACTGTTTTGTGGCTATATATATGGTTTGTGATGGCTGGAAATCGTGAGAAATAATTTGATAATGTTGTGGCTGTTGTTAAGCTTTTCTAGGTGTTAATTAAGTTGATTGAAGAAGAAAACATGAAAAACAAGTGATTGACGATAAAAGTTAAGGTGCTAGACGTATGGGGCTGTTTTGGAAGGCATTCTGTGGATGCTTTAAACTAGAAATAATATGGTACATATACGTATGATGTTTTGAAGGCTGTAAATTAATTTATGGAATAAGAGTTGGATTCAAGTTATATCTTATTATGAGTAAAAATGAGCTTGCCGCTCAATATGATTGTTAAGATAATCGAAAAAACTCATATTGGAGTATATTATTGTTGTTGTTGCTATTGTTGGTTATAGTTGTTGTTTTTGGGCTGTTGATGACCCTTAGTGGTCTTTGGGTTGTATTAAAAATTAGGGGAGTTGCTGCCCGATTTTCCTTAAGTCATACGACTAGTCAAATGCGATGGTACAACATTATATGTTAACGGCAATATCATTTCACTTGTTGTAGATGCACGAAGTTGTGTTGAGCATGGTTGAGTAATAAGGAAGAGATCATACAGGTATGTTAAGACTATCCGTTCTTTCTTTTGGCATGATCCAAGAAACGATACGTAAACGTAATGATATTCCATAAGTGGTTCTACTCTTAGTAGTTAAGGATGTCCATATTATCCATTCCCGTAAAGTGATATTCAATCATGTCTAAGTATGTATCTAGTTCCCTATTGGGGTATTTGATAAAGATGTTAATATTTATAATATAGTAATACATGCATCTTCATGCATATGCATTTACCACCGAGCTACAGCCGGTCGGGAGTCATGCATTTACCACCGTGCTACGGACGGTTGGCAGTTACATATTTACCACCGTGCTACGGCCGGTTGGATAGTCATGCATATTCATTTACCACCGTGCTACGGCCGGTTGGGAAGTCAAGCATCTTCATTAGCACCGTGCTACGGCCGGTTGAACAGACATGCATTTACCACCGGGCTACGGCCGGTCGGGCAGTTACCACCGATTGGGCAGTTATGTACGATTATTTACCACCGATTGGGTAGATATGTACGATTATTTACCACTAGTTGGGCAATCATGCATCATACGATATGGATAATAATCTCAAAGAGAAACATCATATATATAAGTATAATAAGTATGTATATACGGTGGCACTTCAGAGATTCAGGTTGATTCTTATATGTCTTTAATTAATATTGACTTATTATTATGTTTCAGTTTTGCCTTACATACTCAGTGCATTATTCGTACTGACGTCCTTTTGTTGGGGACACTGCATTCATGCCTGCAGGTATAGATAATCAGTTTGACGAGCCCTCATAGTAGACGAGATTGGCATTCAGCGAAGGATCGGTAAGACTCTACCTCATTCGGAGTGCAGCCGAATCTATGAGTCATATTGTCAGAGTTTCGCTATAGACTTATGGGTAGGCCGGTACCCTGTACCATTTGATGTCGCATAATCTTAGAGGCTTTGTAGACAGAGGTTCATTTTTACAGTATGTCAGAGGCCTTGACGGCCCATATGTATTCATGTTTTAAGTACAATGGGTTGCTCATACAGTGTTTGCCAACTTACAGTTGTACATTACAAGATGTGGTGATGTTTTATACTTCAATACCACACAAGAGGGGGGTGATTTGTGTGGTACCCAATTTTCGCTTAACTGAACTATAGAAGGACCTGGTTCTTCTATGTGTTCCAACTACTACCGTTTGCGGAATAAGAAGTAAAGAAAATAAAAATACAGAGATTTTTACGTGGAAAACATCTGGCTCAAAAGATGAAAAAACCACGACCTACTACTCAGTAGGATTTTCCCAAACTTCCACTAAAATCACTGAGCCAAAACAGCATTTACAAAACTTTTTGTAAACCTAAGGATTAACTCTAATCCCGTTGTGGCACACAACCTCAACTGTTGCGACAACTTCAAGTTAACTCTAACTTGAACACTCTAGGTACCTAATATAATTACTTCTATAAAAGCTGAAAGGTACAATGTGAAATCACCTACTACAATTGAACTAGAATAAAAGATAGACACTTGGAACTGGTTCTTCTATCTGGTTAAAGTAGCTTCAGGATTGCACGCTTGAATCACACATAAATTGCTTGCAAAATCGCCTTGCTCTTTTGCTCTCAATTTAAGTTTAACTTCTGCTTATGTGCATTACCTGTAAAAGAGGACAACATTGATATTTAATGGGTTAGTAGTTAGAGATTAACTAGGATACAGATTCTACTCTTCTGTCGTAGAAGAGTTCTAGTTGATCTCATACTCTAACACTATCCTCTTCTTAAACTTTGTTCTCTTCATGTAAGGAGTCTTTCTCTCCTTATCCAGTATGCAACCTTTTTTATCAGATCAGGAGATATTACTTCTGATAAGTTAGATTTATCTCTTTCACGTGCATCTCACATGTTTGGGTCGATCATGACTGTGTTTCACAAGATGGACCTGGTCCATGTCTGAGTTCTTCGTCAGTCTTCAAAACTTCACCTGTTCTTGGGCCAACGAATTCCCCCTTTTTGATGATGACAAACTCTGTGCTTTTTACTTACTTGGATCCTGCAAGAACTCAACTTAACCACCAATACAAAGTTTCAGAAAATTCCTTATTATCAAGGACCAGGTTAATTAGGTTATAAATATCACTTATTCAGAATATGTAAAGCACAATCTGTTATAAATATCACTTATTCAGAATATGTAAAGCACAATCTTTTTCCCCCTTTTGGCATCATCGAAAAATTGCATACAAAGTGTGAGTCCCGGATTTTAATAAGTACTCATGGCCACTGGGGCTACTGCAAGTGCAATCATGGATTAATCATCAGTAATCAAGCAAACATATTTAAACTACCAAGGAAAGATTAACAATAATCAAGAGCAAAGATAGTAGATATCATTGTAGAAGATATGTTGCTACCACAATCCACAACCAGAAAACAAAAATATTCAAAACATGAGCAAAAAGAAAGAAAAATCCCTAATTCGGGTCACTGAAGGTACTAGACGGGTTCAGGAGATAAAGGCTAAAATTCATAAGGCTTGGGGGAGCTAGAGGGTTGGTTTTGGGCTTGGAGAAGATTCAGCATATTGTGAAGAATTCCATCATTCTTCTCCTTTTCCTTAGCAAGCTCAGTCTTGAGAGCATCCCTCTCAGATTCCACCTCTGCCACACGAGCCTTTAGCCTAGCTATCTCAGACCTTGGCTTTACTT